GGGCCGGGCTCTGCCCGAAACCTCCCCCGGGGGAGGGAGGGGGGAAGGAGCAGCCCTTAAGAGCGGCGCCGGCATCCGCCATCCCATCCCGGCGCAGCGATGGGGGAGGCAGCGGGTGGCAGCGCGGTACCTCCGCTACCGCCGTCGGAGGCGGTCGGGGGGCAGGTGAACGCCCTGACCGTCCTGGCCTTGCTGGAGAAACTGGTGTCGATGTTGGAAGCGGTGGAAGGGCAACAGCGGCAGATGGAGCAAAGGCAGCGGGGTTTAGAAGGGGCGGTGCGGGGTATTCAGGGAGACCTGGGGAAGTTGTGTCGAAGCCACGGGGCGACGGGTGAAGCGGTGGAGAAGCTGCTGGAGAAGTCGCGGAAGGTGTGCGCTCACACCCGCGCCGTGCGGGAGAGGCTGGAGAGACAGTGCGACCAGGTGCGACGCCTCGAGCAGCATCACGCCCAGCTGCTCCGGCGGGACCGCTTCAAGGTGCTCATCTTCCAGGTGAGAAACCCCACGGCTGCCCCCAAACCTTCCTTCCTCCCGACCCTGGGGGAAGAACCCGTTTCTGCTAACACCCAGCGAACTTGGGGAAAGGACGGACTTACTACCAACTCCCAGCAAACTTGGAGAAGAAGGCCGTCTTCTTGCTAACTTAGCAAAGCTGTGAGAAAAACCTTTCAATCTCGGCAGAGTTGGAGAAAGTGCAGGTTTATTTTGCTAGCTCTTGGCAAACTTAAGGAAAGAGCCCTCTTTTATTCTTAGCAACTTTATATGAAATACCTATTTCTACTCTTAGCAAACTTGGGGAAATAGGCTGTGTTACTAACTCCTAGTAAACCTGGGGAAAGAGCTGGTTTTTTGCTAACTCATGCCAAACTTGGAGAAAACACCCTTTTATTTTTTTACTAACTTAACAAACATGTTGAAAGAGTCCTTTTTTGCTAATTTTTAATAAACTGTGGGGAAGGAGCCATCTTTTACTCTTTGTGAACTTGGAGAAAGATCTGTCTTTTACTAACTCGTAGCAAATCTGAGGGAACAGACCTTGTTTTGCTCACCCTTAAGAACATTGGGGAACCACCTTTTATTCTCAGCAAACTTGGGGAAAGAGACACTTTTTTACTAACTCTTAGCATATGTGGGGAAGGATTTGTTGTGGGTTGTTTTTTAAGCAAACTTGAAGGAAGGTCCCTTTTTTCGTTTTTAAGCAAACTCTTAGCAAACTTGAGAAAAGGGCCCATTTTGCAAACTCTTGGTAGTGGCCCTAAAAACCACCCTTGCAACTGCCCTCAGAAGCAGGAGAGGGGCAGCACTGCAGCTCCCTGCCACACTCAGCTCCTCAGGCTGTTCTGGCCCATTGAGGGATGAGCTCAAAATTCAGTTAAAAAATCAGCTTCCTGGGAGTCCATCCAGTGATAGCAGCAGTTTGCATATTTTCCCCTTTTTAAGCAATGGTCTGGACAGAACACGGAATGAGCTTTGACTAAACACACGCACTAGGGGAAGGAAGGAGAGGGAGCACGGGGCTGGAGCACTCACCGGTCAGGAACATCACCAGCTCCTCAGGCTAAGCTTGTCAGCTGCATGTTACATCTGTCAGTAGCTAACTCTACTCCGTGGGATGTTGGGGTTTTCCTGTTTAAACAAATCCAAAACAACTTGATTTTAAAAGTTGGCAGGCCTGGTTGGTGCACAGGCGCTTGCCCCAGAAAGGAAGCCCCCCATTTCCCTGCTTATTGTTCTCACAAATTACCGCCCTGGCTTATCACGCCAGAAAAGGAGGAGCTGCAGTATGCACCGAGCATGATAGTTTCCACCCTGGAAGGAATGTGGAAATTATTCCAGGGGCTGGTTAAATTAAGAAACATGTTTTCTGGACTTCTCTGAGTAATTTAAGGTCTGTTACTGTAGTCAAAGCATTGCTGTCTCCCAGGCCATTTTAGCTAACGACTGGCTCCTGCCTCCAGGTTCAGGCATAGACCTTGAACACTTTCACTGTAGAGAGTGCACCAGCTTGGCCTGTGGGAAGGTAATTTTGTGGCGTTCCTGTTACTTGTGTGAGAATTAAGGCCTTGCTATTGCAACTAGAGCATCTTCCTCCAGAGAATCCAAATTTTAGCATTTTTAAGATGACAGTGTGTAGAGGAAAGATGAGAACATCTGTGTGGGGGCAGTTACGGTTGCCTCAGCTGGGGATCCCTGTTACTGCTGCTCAGTGGCAGTGATTCACGGGCACTGGGTAAAAGTACTGGTAAAACTTGCCAAGAAGGGTTTGAAGGGTAGAGCAGCATCCTAACAGGGGACGGCTGGCTTGGCTTGTTTTGCAACACTAGACAGCATTGCAAAGCTAAGGCCTATTTAAAGCTCCAAACCTTTCCTTAATACTGTGTCCTAAAGTGCACAAACCCAAAGCAAACAACTCAGGTCTGTGCCCCAGAACAGCAGCTAAAGAAAATCCACTGCTTCTCCACAGCTCATCACTGGGGTGGAACCTTTAGACAGAGGTCTGTTCTTCTTTGCTTTAACGAGGATTTAGTTGATGATGTTCCTGTGTCTCACTGGAAAATACATTGCTGGGGGGGCGAGCTGATGTGGATCAGGAATACAGGCCTTAGAAAATAAATACTGCAGTTAAATTTAGGAAAAAACATTCAGCTGTCAACTGGGAATTGCTCCTGGCACTGGCCTGTTGCTAAAAGCTAGTGGGGCTCTCTGCAAAACTAGGGTGGCCAACATAACTTCCCGGGACATGGGAGGGTGGCCAGGCGGGCAGTGCTTGGGGCTTTCTGCAGCGGAGCCTGGGAGGAGCTGGGATTTTCCACTGGGAAGCCGCCATACCCGGGGCGAGGGCAGGTGCTCAGAGGCCGTGCCCGCACGCCTGCTGCCAGCCTGGGCAGGCGCCTTACCTGCGTGCCCACCTCCTCAGCATCTCCCTGCGGGGTCTCCTTAAAAGGTGGAGGCGAGATGACCTGGTAGCGGGGCCACCGCCTTGCTAGGATATTGCACAGAGGGAAAAGAGCAGAAGGCTGGCTGGGTTTCTGTACTGCCCTGAGCAGGAATCCATGGAAAAACAATTGCAGGAAGGAGAAGTCACAGCAACGAAGCCATATTGATGCCAGATTTCTGTAAAAACAAAAGGGAAATCTGGATAGATGAGACTTCAGTTCGAGGATTCTTTTCCGCTGAAAAAACAATCCAAAATTTCACACAGCGTGTTTCTCGTTAGGATGCACTTTTCCAGCTTAGGAAGACAGCTCGGTATGAAAATAAAAATATGTATTTGTGATTCGGTTCCGCATTCACCATATACCTCAAACTCCCTGATACTTGGTGGGAGCACTGAGCATAGCCAAAACACATGACTGAGCTCTAGCTCTGTATTTTATGAAACCGTGCTGCCACTCACCAGCATCAGCTTACCCTCAGCATACATGCTGAGAATGAACTGCGTTTAGAAGAGTTCAGCTATTTACATATTTCCCATTAAAATGCTCTTAGTTTTCTCTCCCTAGGCTGTCTGTGTTGTTCCTAGTTTGCATATATTTTTTTAATTGGTGACATATTTTAATGGAGCTCCATTCCAAGCGTTTCAGGATGCAGAAGTTATTACAAATGCCACAAGTGACACAGCAATTCAGCAAAACTCTGAAGTGACTGTTTTAAAAATCCTTGTTAAGCTTTGGCATTGTTCCCCTCTATTTTGTTCTCACCACATGACCAGCTTTTTGGTTTTGGTTTGGTGGGGTTTTTGTTTGCTTTTTTTAGCTGCAAAAGCAAAATGCAAGATGAAAAAGGCTTATGTTTAATTTTTCAATTAAATGTCATGTTTACTAGTGAATAGGACAGATAAAATAAGTCAAAATTGCAGCTTGGGGTCAAGCACACTAATATTCAAGCCCTGTTCAGATGTTGCTCTTGGTAAATGCTTCATCCTGAAATGAAGCAAGAGGAGGGCACAGGAAATCGGCCATTTGGTTGTATCTTGTTATTTGGGTCACTGTAATAATCTTTTGAAAAAGCAACTTCAAACTCAAAAATGAACAAGTGAGGGAAACAGAAGAATTACAAGTGGTAATGCTATTATCTACTAAATTTTCCACTGGAGCCTTGCAGGGAGACTACTCCTGTATTGATTAATGACAAGAATACCTCATATGGCTCTTAGGACTTGATCCAGCTGTGTTGCGGGAGGTCAGGAGGATGTGGCACCCAAGGCCCCAGCCTGTGCAGGACGTGCAAATAGTCAGCTGGCGATTTCCTCCTCATTGCCCGCAGACCCAGTCTGCTCCCTGCCCTCATCCCTCCCCATGGTGACATCCAGGTCTGAAGGAAAGTAGGTGGAGCTGTAGCTGTTTTTAGAAGGACTTGTCATCTTTTGACCTATTTTGTGTGGCAAAACAAGTTTTAGACTAGTATTTATTTAGGCATATAACAGCATCTACAACGTACAGAGGAGCCTGGACTGCTGTAAATATGGGAAATGCCATTTCCCCTTTGTGAAGGCTGTGGCCTCTTACGACAAATGTTAACAAAAATCCAAACCAAAGCATGCTGATTTCACTTATACCGCATCAAAGATTCAGCGCTCCTGAGTAAATTAACAGCCTGTTCGCTCAGGCTGTCCGGTTCTGTAGTACACTGTTACGGATCTTTCCTTTCTGGCAAAAGATAGGGATGCCATTATGACCTATAGAAAGTTCCTGAGAATGGATGATCAAAGCCACAGGGAAGGTGCTGCTTTTAACCTTGCAAGTATTACTAGTATTAGCAGGAGTTGTTTTTACAGAGAATGTGCACTGTTCTATTCATCTCCTACATGGAAAAATGAAATTCAGAGGAGCTAGCTATCTACAGTCAAGCTGAGAAAATGCAGGTGCTGTTTTTGAACTCGGATGTGGAAAATAAAAAGATGTATTGTTTTCTCAGAATTTTAGATTAGATCAAGAAGATCAAAGTTCTACTTTTTTTTGGCATGGAAAATAGTTCCGCAGTTTGTAACAGTTGGCATTTTTCAGTGTATTGTTCTAGTCTTCCTAAATTAAATACCAGACTGCTTGAAAAATGTATCAAAACAAAAATATAGCTGTCATGTAAACTTGTTAGACCAAAAAGTTACCAATAGCCCACACGTTATCAATAACTGTATTTGAAGCAGAAACATCTGGTCCACCACAGAGCATTCCTGCTATACCACCTTTGTATTTCCAAAGCATTTCACTTAATTTATTTTCATTTGCATTTTAATAGTTCCTGTGATCCTAAGGTCTTTTAGAAACCTGAGATAGGAAAGCATGTCATTCCCATTTTACAGGCAGCATAATAGATGCCCAGAGGCTGATGTTTTCCAGGGCCATGCAGGAAGTGTAGATAGAGAGGTGATTTCTTGAATGCCAGTATCATCTGATAGCCAAAGACCACCTAGGATCTGCTTTTAATCAAATCATTAGCTCATTAATAATTCATATATTTTAGTGGTTTTTTTCTGTATAAATATTGATAGTTTGACAGTCTCCCTTCTACTCGGTGTCAAATTTGATAAAAATTGAAATAAAACCTATGTCCATATTCTTCTAGAGACTGCATGCAGTACTGCAGATTAACGTGAATACTGTAGACACAGAGCTAAACTGACACTGAGAAGAGCTGTACAGGCCCATCTCTGCCTCAGACTGCACTGTGCTCAATCTCACATGCCACCATGCTCCTAGATTGATGACTTCAAATGTTACAACCCATCAGAGTTTTCTATGCCATTCAGGCACTTACACCCGAACGTTCAGATGTTTAAAAGTGTATGAGATTACCTAGGTTTGGAAAGAATGCACAAGACATGTAAATTATGCTTTATACGGAGTTCTCATGCTCTGGGGAATAATTTAACATTGCAGCCAGTCATGTAATCCACATTTCATTAACTGCAGTGGAGAGAAAATATAAATATTTGTACTGCAGTTACAGCTGTTTTCACTTAAAGCTGGTACAGGTTTTCATTGTTTTGTTAAGTTGGTCGCTGTTGCTGATAGTTGTAACAACATAGAAGTGTTGGGAGAAGAGCCCTGCCTTTATTAGATGTTCCACTGGAAGCAAAGGGCTTGAAAAGCTTTATCTGTGCCAGTGTATCCGACTGAACCCGCTGGTCCAGAAAGCTGTGCGGAAACGGTAGAAGTAAAGCACGTACAAACTGTCAAACCGCTAACTATTTGTTTGATATTTTGCATTTTTATATCCTTGAGCGATGCTCACCAACACACTTGAATCACAGTATATATGATTATATATGTGTGTATATATGGTTTCAAATGATTCTGCCTGCCCACATGCATGTTCTCGAGTTCCAGAAGCTCTGCAAGGTAGTCAGGACCATTTTGTTTTTAAAAACAACCATGTACAACATCCTTATACAGCTTTGACAGCAAATTTAACCCAAGACATTGTTCTCTCCAGTGATCACAACTACATGCTCAGTCCTGAAATAATGAGCATGAACTTGGAAGTGTATGTGGCCTTTTTTCCCCTTAACTGTACACTCAGGCCCACTAGGGACAGATCTGAGACTATTACAACCATTCCACTCAGCACTTACTGCTTTTCGCATCTAAAGATAAATAGGGGGGGAGGGAAAGAAAATCCTTACAATCCATACAGCTAAGTGATATTGCACGCACTCTGTCTGAAAATGACAAAAAAGGTAATGAATAGAGACTATGCAGATCTAAGGCGTAATGATTCTGAAAGGAAAAGGGAGTGTGTGAGGAGCCTCATTTTCTTTGCATGGGTAGATGCCTGCAAAACCTACTGCAGAACAGAGTGTTCATTGTGCTGCCTCTGAACTGCTTGGGGTTGAAGAGCTTCTGCACTGGGTAGTCGCAGAGGTCCTTCATTACAAGTTGCAGCTTCCACCCTTGTTCAGCCTGATTTGTTTTCAGATATCTATCTTTCTTTCTTTCCATGGCCCTTCTTGGTTTTGTTTCTACAAAACAATCATTTCCCTCTTAGCTAGAAGTGGCTACTGGTGTTTTCTGTGTGGTATAATGTCTGGTTTATATGCCATAAACTTTTTATTTTTCAAGGAGTTGTCCTGTTCATATTTACCACCCAGATTTACTATATTTTTTCTGTAAATAGCTGTAAAATAGCACACACACTAAACATCATGGGCTGCCTGTTTTCTCAGTATCAACAATCCATTTTAACAGCAACATACATTTTTCTAAAATACACTGAAAGTGCTAACTGCATTTGCCATCTAAGATACCTCTCAGATGGAACCAACATCTCTGCAGAGATAGTCCCAGTCTTTGGCTAGAGAAACTGAAAGCTCAGGAGGGGGGTTGCATGACTTCTATAGGTCTGTGCAGGGGTCCGTAGTATAACCTCCTTAGGCACCATCCCTTCTCCCCAGGGATAGGTGTACAACTTCACAGCCAAACTCTTATTAAAGAATATCTAATTTAAATTACAAAGAATGGGATTTCCATTCTGTATATATTCCAAGTCACTCTGAAAGAGAAATCTTACAGCTGACAGCTCATTAGTCTTAAACTTTACCAGATAATGGTTCAGTGGGCTTTGAGTGGCTTGTTACTGGTTAAATATACTGAAACAACAAGAAATGTTCAGCATTCTTCATCTCATCGTGGGGGGAAAAAAAAAAGTAATTGTTCAGAGTTGTGCTTTGTTTATTAAATTTGTGTCCTGTGAACTATGAAACTCAAATATTGTCAATTCTTTCAGGAGGAAAATGAGATCCCTGCCAGTGTTTTTGCAAAAGAGCCTATTCCCAGCATCACAGAAGGAAAAGAGGAGCCTGTGGATGAGAACAAAACACTGGAGGAAACTTTGCACACGGTGGAGTTGTGTTCAGATGATGAAATGTTTCACGAGGAAGATGATATGGATGATAGTGCAGAGGAAAAAACAGAAGAATCAAGAGCTGAGAAAATTAAAAGATCCAGCCTCAAGAAGGTAGACAGCCTCAAGAAAGCATTTTCCCGCCAAAACATTGAGAAGAAGATGAACAAGATCAGCACAAAGATTGTCTCACCTGAACGGAGAGAAAAGATCAAGAAATCGCTTACTGTACATCATCAGAAATCCTCTTCTTCAAAGAGTTCAGCTTTCAAAGTATCTCCCCTCACATTCAACGTGAAGAAAGTCCGTGAAGGAGAAAGCCCTGCTGAAGCTGAGGACAGACCAACAGAAACTACAAGCAATGACCAAGCTGAGAATGAGGATGAGACATCATTTGCTGACATGCACTCAGATATGACACCTACCACCTCGCTGACCGAGGAGGGCAAAGCAGTAGCTGATTCTCTAGAGAAGGAAACCAGAATGGAAGGGAATGCCATGATGAACAACAACATTGAGCTGTCCATTGTTGAAGATGATGAAGACTATAGGATGCCTCTACAAGTTTCTAGCCAGAAACTGTATGATGAAAGAAACAACCCAGTCAGCGGGGAAATGGAACAATCTGATGAAGAAACGACCCAGGCAGCAGTCCTGCAGATAGACCAAACAGCATAATCAACCCAAGTCTTCCTGCACCTTCCAGATATGCACGGTTTTACTTAAGCGAGTAACTGGTTTCTGCTACACAGGTGTTAGTAGCGATTTGGTTTATTCCATCCTTTTCTCTGCAGTGGTAATTTATTGCATCGTGTTGGAATGCAGAATGAACGAGGTCAGTGACGCAGGCTGCAACATGCTCCATTTTAGGCTGAATCACCGGTGTTTATTAATTTAAAGATGCTGTCCGCTGGTTTAAGAGACAATCAGGAAAAGAGTATGTCTAGTAGAAGCAAGCTGGTCAACTGTCTTTTCTTATAGTTAGGTCAGAGGAACGTGTGGAGAGTAGTCAAAACCCAAACATTTCCATTCTGTTTTCTTCCCTCTCAGTATTTCACGACACTGTGAGTAGTTTTATATGTCAATGTAGAAATACAGTTGAGAACATTTGATTTCGGTTTTCTTGCTATGCTCTGTGAATACTAACAGCCTCAGGAACTGTGCATACATGTATAGTTTGTTTGGGGCTTCGCTCCACGATGCTAAAAGAGCAGAGTACTTAAGAGGGCAAAGCTGAAAAGTGGTTCCATCCCTTTCAGTGAGGGAAAGATTTTTGCCAGTAGCCTCTCGCTATTCACTTAAAAGAAGTGACTGTGTTTAGGTGAAAATTAAAAGATGTTTTTCAATATACTGGAGTTATGGAAGTACATTAATGACAAGCATGAATGTGTGATTGGTTACTGTACCTTTAAGAGATCAGAAATTGAAAAAAAAGTAGAAAGAATTTGACAGAAACATGGAGAGAGTCTGAAGAAAGTACAAAATAATATGAAATATAAAAAAAGCAAAACTAAAACCCCGCAATATTAAGTCTATACTCCCAGCTTACGGAATATATACTCAGATAACACTAATTAATTCATTCTTAGTCTTTATAGCAGTATACTATCAAAATTTGCACCTGCACAACTTTGTATCTCAGAGTATTTTGAAAATAGCATAACTTTTTACAAATTATTTCATATAGAGCTATATCTACACAGAAGAGTTAGAAAATTACAGGGATGTAAGGACAATTTTTTCAAAAAGGTGAAATACTCTTTTAGGCATATCTAAAGGGAACAACGCGTTATGGATTGAACTTCATGGCAGGGATGAGTTTACACGAGGATGAGTCCACAAAGCCACAGGATTTGATTCTCTGCTGATAATCTCCATCAAAGCCACCTACATGCTCTCAAAATTACAAGCCTGTAATTTTTCAAAATTAATTGAAAATGAGAAGTTACAGGGTAGTTTGTTCACTATGAATGTTCATTCCTGTCACTTACAGGTAGGGAAAGGGAGGAAAGTGAAGCACAACACCCACAACAGTTACCTTACATCCTTGTTTGTTTATGCAGTGGGTTATTTTTATTTTTATATATATATATATATATAAAATTCTACTGATACTTAACATTGCACTAAAAGGTTTCTTCCTTTAACTTGTATTTAGAATCACAAATTACAGGGGAAATAAAAACTGCAGAAAAAATATAATTCTGAAATGATTAACAGGTATTACTCAACAGGGGTAATATCTGTAACCAGTAAATCACACTGGAAGTTAGTTGATAAGAGCTTAGAGTAGGTGAGTACTATTAGGAGTTAAGCTCTTAAGTGTATGGTATCATATAGGAGATACTGTTTGTTAAAAAAAAAAAAAAAGTCATGGCATAACTCGTGCAGCTATATTTTTATTTTGTATTAACTACAATGGATTTCAATAATTTTTAATTGTAACTAACTACAAATATGACAAATAAAAGCATGACAGAAAACACAGCCATGTCAGTCTTTGGGAGAAGCAGTCTGAGAAGTTGGCAAAGATGAAATTTAAAGGTCAAGCATTTATTACTTCAGTTCATGTCCCTGTTGTACCTATATCATTTTCTTTCTCATCCTCTGCTGTTATTTAACAACACAAACACCAGTGCTTCGCTTTCCAGACACTTGCCAGATCTCTAGACCATCTGAATGTAGTCAGGCACTTTCCAAAATCTGCAAGCTCCTTCTGCATTTTTTTATTGGACCGCAGCATACTTCTAATACTTTAAAATAGTCCTGAAAGCATTTTTATATTGAACTGTATATTCTGTTTAACAGACACAGATAAACTCACGTCTTCTAGAGTGCCACATAGTCTTTAGCAGGCTTAATTTTACTGACAGACCAAAGAACGCATGTTTAACCTTTATGTAACAGCTGTCAACTTCCCGCAGCCACCAAGCGCTAACCAGGAACTCCAGCATCATGTTTACATTTTGCTTTCAGATATGCCTGGTTTGTTTGTCCTGCTAAGCTTTAATTCAAACAATACCCCTGGCCATGCTTTATTCAGTTTTAGAGATGCTGAAACGAATCCCATGCACAGTATTTTAGGAGCATTACAATGCTTTCCAGTAAAACCATTGGAAATGCAGCTACTGAGCATCTGTGACAATTAATTCAAATACCCACTTCAGGATACACTACACATACAGCCATCAGTTGCAGGACTAGAATTAAACGTTTTCTGTTGTGGTTGCACATTTACAGGCGTGAGCAGGCCTGCAAGAGAAAAATACTTAGTCAACTCATGAATGTCTGCTTTTGTCCTATCTTAGAGGAAGAATCAAGCTCAGGATCCTGAGATGTCCCCCAAGCTGTTCCTTCCCTTCTTCATTCTCGAGTCCCAACTAAAAACATTAGTCTGCAAAACTTACTGTTTCGGGGAGGAGACAGACTGCAGCACCAGCAGCACTGTCTTCTTTCAAGTATCTGAAGTATGTGCCTGGATCTCGTCAGGCTGGCAGATGTCAAGCATATGCATGGGTATTCCATGCTTGTGCTGACAGGTTTGTCTACATAATTACTTTTTTTTAAAACTGCTTGTTTACCCTTGACACAATAACGCAGTACAGTGCCTGCCTGTGAGCTCCACTCGTCCCATTATTCCTTGGAGGACCTCACCTGTTTAGCTGCTGCATGGATTCAGAGTTTGACCTCCACTGAAATCGGCAGGAACTTTGCACAAAGAAAGAGGGTGTGATAAAGTCCTTATGGTATAAATATTTAAACTAATAGCACTCAGTGGCTGGTGATACTTCCATTTTCAATGCAGAAAACCAGCTGACATTTCTGTCCCCTATTAGGGGAAAGGGCAAAGAGCATCCTGTTGACCCCCATGTGCTAATCCATGAGCCAGCTCTGCTGTGAAAAGGCACAGACATGGACTTTCTGGAGCATTTCACTGTCAAAACAAGAGAGTGCAGTGAAAGCCCTCATACAGGCCTGACTGAAGCACGTTTGATGATTAAAGAGACAGAAGAAAGGGAAGAAAAGGATCAGAAGGTAAAATATACCTGTATGCCCTTTACACTGATGCAATGAAACCGGTTTGTTGTTACAGGCTGTAATGCCAAACAGTTACATGACTGATAGTCACACACTTAAAGATGTAAACTCAGAAGAATTAGTGAAGTAATGGCAACTTGTCAGAGGGCAAACTGTTCACCAAGGGACTGGTATAACCCTGAACGTCAGTGAAAAAACCTTCAGCTGGCTCAAGGGACTCTCTGAGCCGTACAATGGGTTTGGGCCACATGTACAATTCCTGTGACCATCAGTTAAGAGCTGTGTGCATAGATGCAGGATGTGAGACCTCTGTATCTCCCCAATCCAATCTGCTTAGCTCATCAACAGAATAAAAAGTTTTACTGCCATCAGCACTGCCGTTGCAACAGTGTGGCAGAAAGGAAGGCTCTAGCCTGCTTTGCAGGGTGCATTGTGAGCAAAATGTCAAACTAACTTCTGACTGCAAGGTCTTTGCTGTTGGTAGCTGCATACAACGGGGCAAGAGTAGCTTCAGCTCCTGAAAACCAAGTATGCAGATAGAAAAGTTTTACTGTGGCCCACTAAACCACACACGCTCGTTCTGGGTGTCAAGGGGAAGGTGTCAGGTAGTTTTCCTGCATGCAAAGAAAAAGATTCAACCCTCGAGCAAAGCAAACACGCAGCTGTTTGGCCCCAGTCCTGGTTAGGGTTTTGCCTAGGCAACTAAACAACTGGCAGGAAACAACTGCCAGAGCAGCCTGGAGGGTGCTGACTCAGCACCTAAGTATCTGCCACTCTGACTCACGGCCCTCGCTTTCCCAAATAAATGGAAAAAGGCTGATAGCCACTTTCCACCACTTTAAAATGCCTTTTGCCAGGGTTTTGTTTCAGGATCTGCGTTTGAACCAGCATCAACCCCAGGCTGAGTCTAATTGCATGCATAAAGAAATTCTAATCAGCATACTTGCAGCTGGTGGTGGTGGCTGATCTTTCCCGCCCTCCTTTTGATCAAAATGCCTTTTTTCCTTTCCTCTCACTCCACCAAGTCATTTGCAGGAGTCTGAAGTGTACACTAATTCAAATAAGGAACTCTTTCTAACTGCATGTTGAGAACTGATAATCAATGTCATCTTTAATTTTTCTTACATGGTTATCCCCTTTAATGGAGTGTGCCACAGTAACGGAGAATAAATCTGCTCTGGGTTAAGCTAGAGATTGTTATTTATTTTTCTTTCAGATCAGAGATTAATATTGCTGTATGACCATTGGCACTAACCTCTTTTTCCATAGCAACACTAAAGAGAACATAAACTATGAGTCATAATTTCTCTCTGGAGGACTTTTTTGTAATTATGATCATTCCACAGTTCCTAAAATATGTTAGCTGATATATAGCTTTGGTATAACAGCTTTGATTTTCCTTCGTTTGAACACACAGGCAGAAAGAAGAGACTTCCATTATTTTCTCTTTCTCAGGCTGAGCTAAACACTACACAAAGTACCATACATTCATTATTCATTATAGCTGCATGGCTCCTAAAAACTCTACAGCAACGTTTTCTTTATAAAGGTGGAACAGGTTTCCTTGCTTTCAGTAACCTTAAATGATACCGACCTTCTAAAAGAAAACTTGTGTCCTTCCCAACGTGGTTAGCAAATTGGGGTCTGACAGCTGGAACTGATCCAAACTGGAAGCTGTATTATATTGGGTGGCAGCAAGGTAGCACACTAGCATTGCTCCTCTGCCAGTCAATAGCTTTAAACTCTCCAACATTTCCTCTCCCACAGAACACAGCTGCAATATACAGCCCAAATTCAGTAATAATCGTGATTCTTTTTACACCCTTCAGTGAAAACTTGGCCTTGGAACAACTTGTCCATAGAGCTCCTTAGAATATCTCAACAGATGATCACATCAGATCATCACAAGAGACTGTAAGACTGTGTGTGGCTGGCTCCTACATTTCCCTTAAAACACAGTCTGCTGCATGCCAGTGCAAAGCGCTTAGAAAACCTACAGTGCATGTTGCAGGAGAAGAATTAGGAAAAACTATTAGCAAACCCAAGGACACACATTCAGTCAACAGTTAAAATGCAAAACGTAGAGACAGAACAAGCTTGCACCTCTCACTGCTCTGCAATGTGATCCCCAACAGCTAAACCAAACCCCGACCGCAGCAACACAAAGGATATGTGGTTTGCTCTTGCCTTGCCAGTATGAAGCGATGCACACAGGCTCAGGCTTGTGCAGACACACAACGAAAGACCAGAACGCCAACCAGCGTAGTATCAATGACTCTACAGACTTATGTACTCCTCCCTAACTGTTTGAGGGGAAAAAAAAACAAACCTTCAAATTCCTGAACACAGGGAGCAGAAGGTCATTGTAACGCCCTATGCCATTAACTCCAGTGAGGAGAGTCTGGCTCTGTCTTCTTTACTCCCTCCCATCAGGCTTAAGCTGTGTAGAAATGCGGGTGATGTGAACTCTGCTGGATACTGAAAATGTGCGAGACAGTGCTAGGAACAAATAGCACACAGGGGATGTCGACACTGCACACCATGTACACATACCTCATTTAGATCAAGTACCAGGCACAGCCTAACTACAGAAACGCAATGCTCCATTCAAGCAAATTTATCTTATTTCTCAGCTACTTAGCTCCTGATGTCCTACGCTATTCATTTAAAGTGAGCTTCAGCATCTTTTCAGTACACTGCCAACTACAGTTATATATGCCCTTATATTACTTGTTCCTTCTGACATGCCTGTAGGCAAATGAGCCCCATGAGGGTGACAACATGAGCTGCATTAACCAGCCGCCTTGTCCCTGAATCATTACAACTCAACACAGAGCGCTGTGAGAGACATGGAAAAAGGGACCGTGAGAATGTCTGACTAGCAGTAAACAAATTACGAACACACAGAAGTTGTCTGCATTTGCAGAGTCAATTGGCACTTCCACACTACCACAGTGAAAGCTATATGCACTATGTGACTTCTTCTAAATAACCTTCATTTTCCTACAAGGTTTACCATTCTACTGGTGATGATTGCTGGAGACTGAAAGTCAGTGAGCAGGCTATGACTGAAAACAGTAACAGGTGACATGACACATAAGACCTGTGTAAATAGGTACTACATAAATGTCAGAAGGGGGTTTCTGTCTGCATGTCCAGGCGTAAGCTCTTTAGAAGAATGACTGTGTCCTCTGCATGCCGCCACACACCTCTTGAAATGAAAGGCAAGCCTGAATTACATGGAAGTATGCATTTCTGGGTTAGGTCTAACAGCGTGGAGATCTCAATTAAAACAAGATCGTGTTATGCAGTAACTCTGGAACACTATGTATGACATACATATGTAATATATATGACATTCAGTTTCAGATAAGGTGAGAACCTGGAAAAGTTTTCATGGATTTTAGAGTGGTTGTAAATTCTTTTGCTAAAAAGGAGATAGACTGACA